CGGAGATTTATTTGTATATATTCTTAGTTTATTTTTGTCTTTTGTTGTTTTTAGTGGTGACCTTTAGGTTGATGATAGGGTCACTCAGACTATCTTTTGGGTTGTATATGTCCCCATACTCTGATATTGTGCTGATCTTATTATTATCTATCCTATGATGTTTGTTCCATTGTGCAGTTATGATAAATCTTGGGTTTAGTTATTGTTGGGGACAACAATTTTCTAAATCTGAGAATGTGTAGCATTGTTATGAAGGATAGCTGCAGAAGTGGAACTGCACTTTATATCAGGGAGATATTCTAACTGTTATTTTTATTTTCTTAGTAGTTTGCTTGTTTTTGCTCTTATAAATTTAAAAAAATCCAAAAAAATTGAAAAATTTGAGAATTTTTGGAAAGTATTTTCTGAGCAAGTCCCAGGTTTAGATATGCTTTCCCTAGTTAACTTGACTGATTTCATCGTGGAAAGCATGTTTTATATGAACTTCTGGCATGATATTGCATGGGCATGAGTAGATTTCATGATTGCTCGTTTGTTTCAATTTTGTGCTTGAATGATTAATGATGCCTGATGTTTCTTTTGAGAGTCTAGCTTGATACCATAGCTGGTGAGGTTTTGTGCTTAAACACTTATTTTTATTCTTGAGAGACTTCACTGTGATAGCATTCTAGAACTTTCTCTCTTTCTCTGTGATACATGCATTGATTGAAATGATTAAGGCAATTTTATTCTTGTTAGCCATGGCCAGATAGCCCACCTGTTTGATTTTTCCATTGTTAACCCCTTTGAGCCTGAGCCTATTTGTTCATGATTCCTGTTGATTGCTTAGCCATATTCCTATTGTCTTACCTGTGTTGAGATTGAAATGTTTGACAAGAAAAGAAAATCAATTGAGGTAAGCTCCACTGAAGCTAAGTAGTATCTCTAAAAAAAAAATAAAAAATAAAAAAAATAAAAATAATATATCAAGATAGAGAGAAAGTGTATATAGCAATGTGAAAAAGGTGGGAAAATAAAAGGGATGGATCCCTGATCTTAAAGAATAGTGAAGCTTAAATTTGTTTGAGATTTGATTGTTTTGCAAGTGTATATCAGTGTTTCAATCTTAACTTATAATTTTAGCTATTTCCCAAAAATTCCTACCCCTAAGCCAGGCCAAGTTATATCCATGTGAAGTCCTTTTGATCAATTGTGCATGTGTTAATGTTCCTCATCTTTAGGAACTTGAGAATATGATCAAGCTTATGGTAGTGCTATTGCTGTGGTGGATTGAGTGATTGTTATTCCCCCAAACACTTGAGTGTTGAGTGTTATATGTTATCTTGGTGAGGGGTGTTCAAGTTAGATTCTGACATTTCATGAGAATAGAAGGCATTGTTAGGAGTTCTTTGCATTGATTAAGTCGTGCTTAGCATAATGATCTATTGATTGTCTGTGTGATGTTATGCTAGATTGTTGTTTTTGGTTTTTCCATGTTTGGATCTTGTCTGTTGCTGGGGACAACAACATTTAAATCTGGGAATAATTTGATGTGCCTCTGGCATATATGGTTTTCCAAGCGAAAAATGATAAGGATTAAGTCATAAAGGAGCAGTTTATATACATATTTGCTTTATATATTGACTTTTCCATTTCAATGACATTTCTCAGTTATTTGTTATGTTTATCTAGGGAGCAAGAATGAAAATACAAAATTTTAAAAGCTTGGTGGCGCGATTCTGCGCGGTTACTGGTGCTATGTCGTGCCAGTTTCTCTAGGCCATTTTCCAGAGTTTTGGTGCAATCTTGCGCCATAGTGGCGCAATCTTGCGCCAAAGTGGCGCGATCCCGCGCCAGTTTGCGGGAAAACCTGACCGGTGTTTTGAAGGGAAAATTTGGAAGAAGCGCGAGAAGGAATATAAAAAGGATGCTGAAAAGTTTGAAAGAGGATTCGACCAGTAGAGAACCGTCGTGCTTCAGAGAGAGAGTTCTTGAGAGGAAATCTTGTTCATCATTTCTTCTTCCATTTTCTATTTTATGTTGGATCTTTATAGTTCAGCTATGACAATGGTTGGCTAGTACTCTTTATTGTAGTTAGGGTCACAAACCCTATGTGAACCCTTGTCACAACGGATTGTTTTATATTTACTCTTTTATACATATATATTATCTATACTCTGTGCGTAATTTCTATCCTCTTTGTTAGAATTGATTAATCTAATAGTTGATGATAGTTTGAGGGTTAGAGCTCTAGATAGGAATATTGGGGTTTTGATCTTGAAAGAGAGTAGGATAACGATTTGTATGCGTGCTAGGAGTAGACGTATATATTATTGCAGATGTTTAATTTATCGTGCTCATTGCTTAATTCCATGAGGAACATTGCAAGAAATTGGGGTTCCAATTGGGTTAAAGGGTTAACCTTGCAAGGAATTGAGGGTTAGCTATTTAATATTTTTAGATGATAAATTATCTGAATATTTATTTAGATGAGTATTTTAAATCAATCCAGAGTAAAAAGCGGGGATCATATGGTGAGTGCACTCTAGCTACAATGCTTTCTTATATTTTTTAAAATCCATCTCTGTTTTATTTTTCATAATAAAAATCCAAAAATACGTCTTTACTTTTAGTTCTTATTTTTATTCAAATCCACAACATTTCTCACAACTATTTGAATCTTTCCGTCTTAAAGGGAATAATTATTTGATATTCGATCACAATCCCTGTGGAAACGATACTCTTCTTATCACTGTATTACTTGTTCGATTGGTATACTTGCCAACACGCATCAAGGACTAATAAAGTGGAATTTATTGTAGCTAACAGATCTGGATTCTCCCATAAAATAGCTATGTGCTTATAAATTTGATCCTTCATTTTATCCCAATTGGCTTGAAAGAAAGTAGCTGGAAAGCCATCAACACCAGGAGCTTTATAAGGGCCCATGTCAAACAAATTGCTTTTAATCTCACCCTGATTAGGAGTCTTAGCTAGAATTCTCAATTCCTCTGTATTTAAATAAGGCTAGAGATCTTGTGAAGACAGCCATCTCCTATTAGAATTATCCTCTGTGAAAAGCTTCTTGAAGAACTCACAGGCCAAATGCTTTAAAACTTCTTGATCCTCAATCCAGATATTATCTTCATTTTTTAATCTAGTAATTTTGTTATGGTTCCTTCGAACAATTGTATTGAGATGATATAATTTTGTGTTCTTATTACCATCTACAATCCATTGTTGCCTAGACTTTTGAAACCATAGGAGTTCTTCTTCTTCAAGTACCCTTGCTAGATTCTGTTGAAGCTAATTCTCCCTATACTCCAGTCTAGTTGAATCATTTACAAGTCTAGCAGCATGAATTTTATCAATCTGACTTGTCACTCTATCTTTTTTCCTATGAATATCACCAAACACCTTTCTGTTCCAATTACGCAGATGAGGCACCAGTCTATGTAGCATGTATGGAATATCAAATCCATGGTCCCAGTAATCGCTAATGAATTGATTAAAACTAGGATGATTTTGCCATGCCGCTAGGAACCTAAAGGGCTTATTACCTTTAACCTCTTTACGATCCACAAGCTTAAGCAAAATAGGATTATGGTCAGATTTAATCCTAGGAAGATGAGTAACTTTGGCATCCTCAAACTCTAATCTTCATTGCATATTTGCCACTATATGATTCAGCCGCTTGAAAACTCTGTCTAAATGAGCCCATTTTGGACCTTGCCAAGTGAAGGATGATCATTTAAAACCCACATCTTCTAATTGACAATCTTGTAATATATCTCTGAACTTTTGACATTTAGAGATATTTGGAGGTGATCCTCCTTTTTTTCCCAACTGGCTGCTATTTCATTGAAGTCACCTCCCACAAGCTAGGGACCATTTACATTTCTGTCAACAATCCTCAAATCCTCCCATAAACTTTGTCTATCAGCATCCCTTGGGCTAGCATATATTGTCGTGCATAGAAAAGTACCCCCTTGATTAAGAGTAACTTTTGTATGAATCATTTGCCCAGTCTGAAATAATGGTTCCACCTGAACTTTTGTTGAAGACCACAAAATCCAAATGCCACCTAAAAATCCTTGAGCTTCTTCTACCCAAATTCTGTCAAAACCACATTTCTTCATAATGCTTGATCCTACTTTACTATTAGTTCTAGGTTCAAGAATCACCAAGATAGAAATCTGATGAGTTTTTACTAGATTAAAAATAACATGACTAATATCCCTACCAACAGCACCTCTCACATTCCAAAACAGAATAGACATAAATAACTTAAGAAAGGTTTACAGGCTTATAGAGAACCTGTGACTCTTCCTCCATGGGCGAATGTATCTCACACTGAACCTCATTTGAGCTCTGATTCTGTGCAGGAAAATCCTAATCCATTTCTTGATGCTCCAACTCTGGAGGTCTAGGAGCATGAAGACCCCCAACCAAGTCTATTTGCTTCTTCCTCTCAAGACTGGTATTTGTGGACTTTTGGTTTGTGTACCTTTGGATTGAAGGGTTCTCTCTCGAATTAGAGAAGTCTTCCACTGCTACTTCTTTATCACTAGTCTTTGTTTTGTTAATCAAAGTATTTCCCTTTCTATTCTCTGAAGTTGTGGCCCTTTCATCCTCCACACTTTTATTCTCCAAATTTAATTGGGAAACACTCTTCTTAGCTGTCTCCTTTTTACCTCCAACTAACTTGAAATTATTTTTTGATTCCACCAACTGAACCTTCTTCTTTGATGATTTTTTTTTCTTTTTTCCTTCAAGCCAACTTTTGACTATTCATACTCTGACCATCTTTTTCTCCATCCTCTTTATTCCAGTCTTCCTGAGCTTCACCAGTCTCCTATATTGATTCACTAATTTATGTTTCAAGTGTTGCATATCTAGCAAGAGTTCTTTCTGTAGCTTGGGGATTAGAGGCCCCATCAAGACCCTTTCTGATTTGAACTATTGCCTTTGAAGCTTCTTTTTTGTCTATTCACCAACATCCAAGGACCAAATCTACCTTCCTAAGCATGTTCCCCTGTCTCAGATTCTTGGTAAATTTGAACATTTCTACCAGAAGTTCCATCTAGTTCATTCTCATTCTGATTTTCATCAGAAAGCTTCAAACCATGATTATGATGGCCTATAATTGGGCAAGCTTCAGTTTTATGCCCATACTTCTCACATGAGTAGCAAACTAGGTGAAGCCCCTCATACTCAACCTGCTTAATTTTACCCTCAATCTTGTATTCTGCCTGAAGCGACTTGGTCAGGTCCAGTTTAACACACATTCTCGCAAATCTACCCCTAGCTAGAGACGTTGTAGCTGCATCCACCTTGATGAATTTACCCAGCCAATTTCCATTCCTCTTTAACAATTTTGTATTGGTGTATTCAATTGGGAAGCCCGAAAAACGAACCCAAGCCATAATTTTAGCATTTGTTGCCTGATACGGGTGGAAATCAAGTTCCCAAGAACGAATGGCAAGATAATGATAAAAAATTACCCAAGGCCCCGCAGTTAAAGCATGAGACAAATCCCTCTTATCCAAGAACCTTACCAGGAAATATCCATTTTCAACGTCCGTAACAAAAACCTGACCTTCTCTAACCCACATGTTTTCAATTTTTTATTCATAAACATAAGCGACAATTTCTTACCAAGAAGCTTTACATAAATAGCTTTATTCCATGGTCTCCATTCTTTTTTCTTGAAAGCATCAGAAAGAATGAAATTCGTTCTTCCATCTTTATTCATTTCCCAACTTACCTCAGGTTGCTTTTCAATTGCTTCTTCAGATTCATTCTCCATTTCTTCTTTTTCTTGCTCAGACGCATTTTGTTCATCTTCGCTTATCCATTCTCCGTTGTGGCGCATCAGCATCTCCTTGAACGACATCCCTTCTTTCATCCAATCTTCCTCTCTTACCGACATAGATTGATTATGGCTAAAGGGGGCATCACCCCCTTTGTACTTCTTTTTGCTTCTCTTCAAATTATCCGCTTCCTTCGATGATATTTCTCCCCTCTCCAATGAATGCATTGCCAGAAAATAACTTAAAATTTATTTTTAATATACTGTAGTATTTATAATATTTTTATTTTTTTTTCTCTCTTTCTTCTTCTTAATGGATTTCACTTACTTTTTGTGTGTTAAATGCGATAAAATTTTCTGATATAACATGAAAAATAAATTCCTCATATTTTATTTACTTTATTAATGTTCTTTTTTATACTATTTTTTAAGTAATTTAAATGGAGGGAGATTATATTTAAAATCTCTAACAACCATATTTTTAATTATTAGATCAGAATCAAATCAATTGTTATAAAATAATATTAAGTGAAAGTCATTGATTTAATTTTGATACAACAATAAAAAAATAATTATAAAATATTATAAAGGAAAATAGGATAAAAGTATAACATCTTCCGCGACTAATATTAACTTCTCTATTTTATCATGGGGAATGATATTGTGACAACCAAGTTGTGTTACTACCAAGTGACTACCAATCAATCTTACCGTTAGATCGATTATATGGATCTAACGGTTATATTTATTTCCATATTTGTATGGTCATGATTTCCCAAATTTAATACTTTATATTTATTTTCACCCTTGTATGGTTATGATTTCCCATATTTAATGCTTTCACTTTAAATATGGGGATTATGACCATACAAAGATGAAAATAAATATAACCGTTGGATCAACATAATCGATCTAACGGTGAGATTGATTGGTAGTCACTTGGTAGTAACACAACTTGGTTGTCACAATATCCTTCCCCTTTTATCATAAGGAAAATAGGTTAAAAGTATGGGGAAGGATATTGTAACAATTAAGTTGTGTTACTACCATGTTACTACCAGTCAATCTCACCGTTAGATCGATTATGTTGATCCAACGGTTATATTTATTTTCTTCTTTGTATGGTCATGATTTCTCAAATTTAATAATTTATATTTATTTTCACCTTTATATGGTTATAATTTCCCATATTTAATGCTTTCACTTTAAATTTGGGGAATCATGACCATACAAAGATGAAAATAAATATAACCGTTGGATCAACATAATCGATCTAACGGTGAGATTGATTGGTAGTAACATGGTAGTAACACAACTTGATTGTTACAATATCATTCCCCTAAAAGTATAACGTGTTTCACAATTTATGTTAACTTCTCTATTTTATCATTTTTCATCCATCTGAGCATAAATACTAATCAAATTGATTGAAATTCATCTCCATATATAGTTGGTTCAAAATTATATAAAACTAGAAACCTTATAATTTGTGTTATTATTGTAAATATGGCTCAATTTACCCTTATTAAATCGCTAGTTTATTCCAGTCAGGATTAAAAAGTTCACAGGTTCAAAAAATTCACAAAAATAAAAGCCAATGTAAACTATGATCTAAAATCAATCTTGGCCTTTTGAAAACTATCATGTCTTGTCCTAACTTGCATCCATTATTTAGATAAGGATTTCATTGATAACAAAGTTTACATTTATTTGTATTAATCATTTTATGAATATTAATCAGTTTAACACTTATCCTGGATATGGCTTTAACTCTATGGGATGGTTAATTAATTTTAAGCTTGCTAATAATTAGTTTCTTTCCATGAATTGTCAAACATAATTGTCAAACATATGGATGAATTTGTACGGAATTGTTTTAACTTAATTAATAATTTTTTGTTTAAGGGGGTGTGTTGGATTGAGATTTCAAAGAATTTTAATGGATTATTTTTGGACAAAAAAATCTATTGGTATTCAATTAGGATTTTAAATGATTGAAAAAAAGTCATGTGGTATTAGATAAGAATTTTAAAAGATTGTTTTAAAAAACAATCTTGTGGTATTCAAAAATCTAACGATTTTAATGGATTTTTTTATTGATGTGGATTTCGTAAGACTTTTTAGTGAGAAATATAAATATGATGTCTCTCTCACAATCTCACTCTAACCCCTGAGGTTTCTTGAGATTTTTCAATTGCAGTGTCTTTTTCTTCTTTCAACCCGCTCGAAATTAGGTTTCACCATAGGTAGAGGTGGCAAAACAGGTCGGTCCGGCCCGCCGCCAACCCGCCAAAAACGAGTTCACCCGCCTCGTCCTGCATTTTGATATGGGTTGAAAATCCCAACCCACTCCTTTTTGTGGTGATCGGCGGGTCAACTCGCCTAAAAAATTAAAAAAATTAAAAATTAAAAATAAATTATATTCTATTAATTTTATAATATTTCTTATTTTCATTTCACAATCACTTTAGTATTTTTCCAATCTCAAACCTAAATGTATACTAATAATCAGTCAAATGTTTTTTAGGAACTTATTTTTGCCTCAATATATGAATAACCTTTGTAATAAATAAAGTTTTTCTTTATTTTTCTAGAGGAGTACTAAGATAAAAAGAATTTCATATCACAAAAGCTTAGTGACAATTAAAATACTACCTATCAGTAAAAAAAAATTGACCCGTGGGCCAACCCGCCCCGACCTACCGCCAACCCGTTTTGACCAACAAGGGGCGGGTTGAGGTGGGTTGGAGGGTTGAAAAGTATAACCCAATTCGCCCCGTTTTAGCGGGTTGACCCGTCGGGTTCATCCCAAATTGCCACCTCTAACCATAGGAGCTTCGTGAAAGCTCAAAAGCAACAAAATTGTTAATGATTTTCATCACAAAATAACCCAGAAACAACAAATGAACAAGACTATATTATAATCCATCTCAAAAAAGCAGGTTTTTGAGAGCTTTTAGAAGTTTAAAAATGATTTTTCAAGCTATGTGTCGCGATTTTTCTTTGCACAAAAATGTGTGATTTTTGTATTAAAAACAACATAAAACAAGGAGAAAACAACAGGGGAACTAAAACTCTCAAACTAAATTTTATTTTACATCAATGAAACAATATCAATTTAAAGAAAGATTGAAACTTCCATAATATAAACTCTATACTTCGTAACAATACATTCATGAACGAAATTCCTTCGCTATAGAAAACGATTTCAAATAATTTTTGTGTCAATAGATAACTAAAGACTTGTTTTTCAAAAATCGATTGAAAATAATTTGAGAAATTTTTTAAACTTTCATGTAATAAAATCCAGAAATTCAGATTTGAAATTTTCTTAGAATACTCAATGAAAACATGTATATGATATAGATTAGAAAACTCTCATCACGTAGAACAAAACCCCCCAAAGTTTCTATGATCAAATGCAAAAAAATTTAAATGAAATTTTATCATGAACTTTAGGTTCTATATGCAAATTTAGAATTATTTTAATATAAATAAAAAATTTGGATCTTATAATCATATATGCATAGCTCTGATACCAAATGAAGAAAAGAATTTTCAACTCATTGGTCAATCCCAAGAGCAGAAATGAGAAAATGCTAATGCGTGGAGGACTAGTATAACTGTGAAATTGTTGCTTAGTAATTTTGAATATTTGTTAAAAATTATATTATGTTTTACTAATCAAGAAAATTATATTATATTTTACTTTTTTTATTAATATCTTTGCATTTCTTTGTTATTTTTGTTATTGACTCTTGTAATTTCGAATGTTTGTTAAAAATTTCATGTGTTTTTTTAAAATTTTATAAATTTATATTGTCCTTTCAAATCTTATAAATTCTTTTAAAATCTAATTTTATGAAATCTTGATTGCAAAAAAAGTCTTTTAAAAAAGTCTTTAAAGCCCCTTTAATTCTAAATAGTCTTTTAAAATTTATAAGATTTTTTATCTCAAAATAGTCTTTTAAAATCCTAATCCAATACACGTCCATAAATCTAAATATACAGTTATGTTTAAAATTTGGTCACCCGACCGAATTAGTAGATTCAATTATAAACAAATGGAATTTTTTTTAAAAAAAAACAACAGTTGTAAGTTCTACAAAAAAAAAACTCAGTTATCACTATTCACATATTTTGAAGGTAAAAAACATGAAACACAATGAATATACGGTTATAAGTTTTTCCTTGCGTAGAAACTTATAATCTTCTTGCATAAACAAAAACACATGACCCCATTAGATTTTTTTTAAAAAAAAAGTTGCAGAAAAGGATATTTTTTTAACCGAGACAGAAAAAAAATACCCTAAGAATATAATTTTATGGAAAAACTATTTATGCAATTGTAGGATAAATAGTTTCCCAGTCCCTCGTATACAAAAAATAAAGGGGACTCCATCACTTTCTCTCTCATTTTTTTTATAATTTATCTCTTTCTTTATTTTTATATTTGTGGTAGGGAAGGTGTTTGGTAGGTTTTTTTTTCTTCTTTTTTTTGGATATCTAGAAAAGTGGGGGTGACTTTTAATAATACAATATTTGGTATCATTTTTCAAAAAATTTACCCAATAAAATGATTTAGATGGTAATCCATTAATCCATTTTGTGTATAAATGAAGGATGAAAGTTATTGTTAAGAATACCAGCCAGAGAATGGTACTATTAGATTGCTAAGAGATTAGAAAAAGCGGTTTGAAATTTTTGACAAAAATATCCCTTTTTTTTAAGAAAGTGATTTAGCTCTTTGACGTAAAAAAAATACCAAAGTGATGGTATATTTGTAATATCACACCAAATTCTCAATAATATATTATAATCAATCAAACGTAAACTTAGTAAATTTTACCTAATATTTTTGGTAAAATTATAGCCTACTAAATAACTTTTTGATCATATTCCTGATAATTTTATTTTTTCATCATATTCTCAGTAATTGTGATTTTTTGATAATTTTTTTTTCTTTTTTACCGAACACCCCGTATAAAATGTTTGGATGAAAGGATTTGAAGATGAAGGAAAAAAAACTCTGTTTTCATTTTTAATAAATATTATTTTTTTAACGAAAATTTCCACTGCAGTAAATATTATTCTTAGGGAAATGATCCATTTACAAACTATTTTAACAAATTTTTACAAATTACACTATGTTCTCCCGATAGAACATAGTGAAATTAGTGTTCTCCCGTGAGAAGATAATGTAGTTTGTAAAAAAAAAAAAGTTTATAAATATAACTTTTCTCTTGTTATCACATGACAAAAGTAATTTTAAAAATTTAGAAGTAGTGTATTGTCGTTTTTTTTGGTGAAAACATTTGTCAATGAAACGGTGCGTTATGAGACGTGTTCCTCCATCGTGTTAGGGTTTTGCAGATTTACATTTTACCTCCATTTTCTTCACAACCACAGAGTTCACAGTAGCAGCCATGCACTGGAGCTCGCAATGACGCGATTTCTCGACGCGAGCTTCAATTTCTCGACGCGAGCTTCAATTTCTCGATACTCGCTCTAAATTATTGCTCGACACGGTAACTTTTTTCCCCCCCTTGATTTTCTCATCATGCGTTTAGATTAGTTCTAATATAGACATGGTTTTCACTGTTAATTTTGAAATGTGTCTTTTAATTTAAAAAGTGTTTTTACGCATACAAAATCCCAACAGAACCATACCAGGTTGTGAGTGCATCTATTTCTGCATTTCACCCCTGTACAAGGTTTTTAATTTTTGTTACTTGAGTAAGTATGTAGGCAACATGTTTGGTTAAATCTCCCTATGAATCGTTCTCAAAATAAAATAAAATATTGGTTTCTTTACAATTGCAAAGGCAAGTGGGTTGCTGAGAAATTGCTAGAAGCTGCACGTTCCGTTTGTGCGTTTCAATTCAATGACTGTTTCCTACGTTCACATGCTTCAATCTATCAGAGGTTTCCACAAAGGCAACCTCTCCTTTTCCAGCCATGACTACCCCAGACACAGTTACAAGGGGAGGAGGACCCACTGCTTAACTTTTGCTTCTATGCAAACATCAGACCCCAAGGTACTTACTTCTATGTCAATTTGTGTTTTCTAGGATTTGGTTGCTTTGCTTATCAGGTTATTTGGATAGTGGGCAATGGTAGCTGTTGAAGTATTTGTTAGCGTAGTGGACATGTGATTTGATTCTGCATTCTGTTTTGTTATCTATTAGATTGTGTAGAAGTAGTATCTAGTACAAGGAAGGATAGGCTCAGCTTTTCTTATTTTGAAAAATAATTGATTTCATAAGCATCTATGGTAACCATAATTGTTGCCTGTGATCAATTTACTTCCATGTGATCAAGTCCCCAAATTCTTTCACATGTTTATGGTGACTGTAAATATTTTATTAATACTAACAAGAAAATTCACACTTTGTGTTGCTTGTAAAATTTCTTGGCATTTGTTTTCATTACTTATTATTATTATTATTGAGGATATAAATCCTTGTTTTCACATTGAAGGGTTAAGCTTTTCTCAGGTAGATTTATTGCTGGACAGTGTAAAATGGGATAACAAAGGTTTGGCTGTGGCAATAGCTCAGAATGTTGACACAGGAGCCATACTAATGCAAGGTTTTACGAACAGAGAAGCAGTTGCTACAACCATATCTTCTCGAAAGGCCACATTTTTTAGCCGGTCACGATCCACATTGTGGACTAAAGGAGAAACCTCTAATAATTTTATCAATGTTCATGATGTCTTTCTTGATTGTGATCGTGACTCCGTAAGCGTTCACCTTTTTTTTTCCTTTGAATTATTTACATTTTCCCTTCCTATTCTTTGTTTCGTATGGAATGTTGATTACTTCTTTTTTTACCCTGGTAACTGCTCAGATAATATATCTTGGGAAACCTGATGGGCCTACCTGCCACACAGGGTCAGAAACATGCTATTATACATCAGTCTTTGACTTGTTAAAACAGCAAGAGGTTAGTTTCAATTAATTAAAACAAGAGTATGTTATTGTCTTGTATTCCTGCAGAGAAAGGCGAGCAATATTCAAATTGATTCTGGTTATGTTACAGGCTGAAGGAAATAAATTAGCATTGACCTCTTTGTATGCATTAGAGTCAACAATCTCCCAGCGCAAAGCAGAGTTAGCAGAAGGAGAAAATGGAAACTCTTCATGGACAAAGCGATTATTGCTTAATGATAAGTTGCTGTGCTCTAAAATCAGGTCGGGCATATCTTATCATGTTATTATGTTGATTTTGAATTTAAGTAAAGAAAATTCCCTTTCTCCTTGTTCATCCTAAAAAAAAGAAAATCCATATTCTCCATGCTTTCCAGTCACTGCAAATCCTTGTACCTGATATAATTGCCTCTGTATATAAGCTTATTCTTAAAACACTAATTAGATTTTTTGTAATTCACTTTGCTTGAAGAAAACATATGGACTAAACGCTAATCTCTTTATGACCTCAGATTGTAACTGTATCTTTCTACTTGCAGAGAAGAGGCAAACGAGTTGTGTCAAACACTAGAGAATAATGAAGACAAGTCACGTACTGCCTCAGAGATGGCTGATGTGCTCTATCATTGCATGGTTCTGTTGGCACGGAAAGATGTCAACGTAGAAGATGTTCTGCAGGTTCTTCGGCAGAGATTTTCGCAATCTGGTATTGAGGAAAAGAGAAGTCGTGCATCACAGAAATTGGAGGAAAATTGAATGTTCTATCAAGTCCATACTTCAAACACTACATTTAGCTTTTGGTGACATGGCCTAATGTAACATACGGGTTCTTTCCCGTGTGACTGTGAGTGAGTAGCAGTAACTTCTGTTAAATTGGGTTGAGAATGTCAAGAACACCATCTAACTTTCATCCTCCCATTTTCTGGATATCAGTTTTAATCCTTTTGAGGTTTTAGTTAATTGTATTTCGTGCATGCTTATGTTCAGCAAACTGTAAGTCTGTAATACACCAGGAGTTATTAATTTCTGGTCGTCTTAGTTATTTGCCCAAGTTGGATTATGAAACTTGTGTCATCCTGCGATGTCGGCAATTTAATTATTTTTAATATTTGACCTTTATTTCTTATATGATTTTCACTATTATCACTGGGATGTAGTATTCTTTCTTATGTACTATTTATTACATGTATATCATACATAGTTTCGAGGGTTTAGCAAAAGCAGTGAAGTGTTTTTCTCTTCTCTTTTCTTTTTTGTCTTCGTTGTTGTTGTCATATAAAATGGGAAGACACAACATTGCTTTTAAAAATGAAGTAAACAGCGAAGATCACAACTTCATTTAATATTTACTTAAATTGATAGGTCATAATATTCTTCCACCGAAATTATTCCCGGATAAATTAGAAAGAGATCCTGTTGGAAGAAAAGTTGAAGAGATTATGCTAGTGTTGCAGGATGAGAAGAAGCTGGAATAGTGTATTTGCGCAGTCACTCATGCACTTTGATAGTTTCTTCACATTTTGTGGCGCACTTCAACAAATTCTCGACGTGCCGATTGAAACAGTCAGCCATGGAGAATACATCATTCCCCCATTTACCAAGGCACTGCCCCAGTTTACCTTTATGGCTACCATATTCATGGGCCACTCCTAATGAAATCAACACAAGCACCGCAAGAATTTGGATCACATGCTTTGAGCTTTAATTGGTTTCACAGGTTACTCCTCAGCTGTTTGTGAATCTAAGATTTATCTATATATACTTGTTGGGAATAACATCTCTGCCACATAAAGAAATTTTAAGTGGGCTACTATCTTTATTTTTCTCTTTCATTGATTTCTGCCCTCTCTCTTGATTTTTCTCTGTGGTAGATAAGAATTTTCTGCCTTAGGCAGAGATGTTATTCCCATACTTGTTATGGGGAAGGTACTTGTCATCACATTTGAAAAAAAGTTGTCCTACATTTTGCTGGCAGGTTTGGTATTTGAAATGAGAAGTTTTTTTTTTAGAAATAATGTATTATTTATTTTATGGAAAAAATATATATCCTTTTAAATTATAGTCCTTTTAAGAGAGATATAGAGATAGATTACAGGGGGAGAGAAAAAAAAAACCTTACTCTTTCTTCCCCATGATTTATCTATTTCTCTATCTTAAAAAAATACAATTTTATATCCTTTAAAATGATACACATTTTTTCCGTATTTTAAAGGGGAAGGTTATTGTGACAACCAAGTTGTGTTACTACCAAATGACTACCAATCAATCTCACCGTTAGATCGATTATGTTGATCCAACGGTTATATTTATTTCCATCTTTGTATGGTCATGATTCCCCATATTTAAAGTGAAAGCATTAAATATGGGAAATCATAACCGTACAAAGGTGAAAATAAATATAAAGTATTAAATTTGAGAAATCATGACCATACAAAGATGGAAATAAATATAACCGTTGGATCAACATAATCGATCTAACGGTGAGATTGATTGGTAGTCTCTTAGTAGTAACACAACTTAGTTGTCACAATATCCTTCCCCTATTTTAAAAGCATAAGTTTTCTATTATTGTAGTTTGTTCCCTGCAACTTTAAGTTGTCAAAATTGAATAAAATTAAAAAACTATCAAGAATTTTCATAAGTCTCCGAATCCTCTTCAATGAACAAAATTTTGGTGCATCAGGTGTACCCAACTGGTACATCATTTTTTTCACATTTGAAAAAAAATTCACCACTTTTGAAAGCTTTTATTCTTGCCACATTGAAAAAATTTCTCCTTTTGAAAAAAAAGATGTACCCAATTGGGTATATCCGATGCACACAAATTTTTCCTCTTCGACTCCTTCGGGTCTTATTGTTATTGGCTTCTGTTCAATAATCTTTAAGGTTTAAAGTTTATAAAGTTACTTTAGATAACTTTATCTAATGTTCATCAAAATACACACATAAAAGTGTGTGGGGCCCATGTTTTTTTTTCTCTATCTTCTTTTCATATGGGTCCACATGAACCCCACATATTTTTTTGTGTGTATTTTGGTAAACGTTAGATAAAGTTATTTAAAGTAGCTTTAAAAACTTTAAACCCTAATCTTTATTATGATATTGTTTCGGGGTGAGGATAAGATACCTAATGAGCTAAGAGGCTGCAACAAATCACGTTAGCACTCGGCTAGGGGTGATAGCTCGCTAGAGCCTCCAATCTCGGGTTGTGGGGTTTACAAACTACTTGGTTTACAAGGGAATGTAAATAAAATTTAAAAAACCCTAACAACAACTATTAATGGTTCCAAGCGCAAACTACTAAATAAAAGAAAATTATAATAAGTCAGAGGCCAACAACAGTACCAGGCCTCTGCGGGCACAAGGGCGTCGTCCCCTGCACCCCTGTCGGGGTGGCTCCCACGGACCCTCGCTCACTCACCTGGGAGCGGGACTTCAATTGACTTTCAACAAGGGCCTTAATCAGTATGCGAAGTATGAACCATACCCAATATATAAAAGATAATTTTATCTCTTATAACATACAAAATATTAATCCTTATAAATATTTATAACCCACAAAACTTACTTGACAAGGAATTAGTATCGAGATGCTTCTCAAAGTGAATGCATAAACTAGCTAATCATGTTAATCATTCCCTCGGTGCTCACCATGCTAGCGATCACAAGACAGGTTTTGGACCCGATTACGTTGACCCGTTAGACTATGCATTGGGTCCACGACATTTTTTGAATGGAATGGGTGTACTGAAAAAGCGTTCCTAAATCATATTATAACCAACTTATATAATTTCTTAGGAACTAAAGTATAGTTTTTGTATTTTTAGTAACTAATGTATCCACCGCCAAATTTGTTATGAATAAATTTAGGAGTTTACTCATTTTAATTATTTTTAGGTTTATTTCACTATGTTCAGATTAAATAAAAAGCTTTTGCAAAAGCAAGTCAAAGAATGCCTTTGTGCATAAGTTGTCGTGTGCCTTTCCATTATCCTTAATCCTTAACAGCTTATGGGTTGAAGCACTTGATTGGAAGGCACGAGCAATTTAACGACTTAATTTTCAGGCTTTTTTTATAAAATAAAAATAAAAAATGAGGATGTGAAAACTGAAAAGTTGCAAATTACTCAATATTAAAGAGGAGTCTTTACATTTTCCGCCATTGCCGTGACACAGTAACACTAAAAGTGAAAAATATTTTTGGTAATACTAATGTATTAAACACTTGGTATATCCTTTATCAAATATAAAAAAATAATATATTTATATTACCTTTTTTTTATATTCTTTTTTTTTTCTTGATAAGGGAATACCTAATCTTAGTACACCTTAAATGTGACGCTAAAAGTGGGCAACGGTAGCCTCTGAAATGAAACAAAGAATGGAAGGTGCATTAGCGAAGCAAATCATATGGTCGTGGAGATATTCCCACCAAACAAACTAACAGATGAACGACAACGACATAAGTTCACGTAGATTTGTTGTAAGCTTTCATTCTCAGCCATTCGTTTTCACTCATGTAACTCTTCCTGTGTCACTACTTTCCATGCTTAGTAATTGCGTATGAGAAATAATTCATTACAAGTTATAAAAAAAAATCATTACAAATAGGAATATAGATGGGTCGTGTGACAGGTTAAGTCACTTTCTGAACATAAAATCTTGGAAATTAAAAGTTTAAATAGGATTAGACACAATATTTTATTAGAGTTACGAAAAATTCTCTAACCTTTTTTAGAATTTTTTGAAAGAATTATATATTACCGATGTTGTTAAAGTCAAGTTTTTACATAGAAACAAAAATAGATTGTAAAAACGTAAATAATAGAAACGACACGATATATATATATGAGATAAATCACTACTCAAAATTCAATAAATAACTTCATATTTAAAACATATAAGTCACATAACTATATAAGACATAAGTCCAAAAATATAAAAAAGAGTTCAACAATTCCTACAACCAAGATCCAAAACATCAAATGAATTAAATTTTAATACCTTCTAAATTATATAAATTAATTCAGATCAGACACATTATTTTGCATCAGTTGCATGTCTTCAATGTCCTTTTCTCTTGCTACCATAATAAGTTCATTTGCAATAAAATATAATAAATTAATTCAAAACACATCTCAACTTAGTACTCAAACTTTTCACCAATGGCTTCTTTTTCTGCAATAGCGACCTCACGCCAGGTTTTTTTTTTTAAAAAATAGCTAGAAGAAAATCTATGCATTTTGATTTGGGGAAAATGGAAATAGATTTTTTTTAAAAAAAAAAAACTGGTCATGGGTTAAAAGTTGATCCGATTAAATTTTATTTTAATTTTTTCGATATAAGATCCAATTCAGTTTTTTGGTTTAAGTAAAAATGTAGAAACTTACATTTTAACTATTTTTACGTTTTTGCACAGAATTTTTACCAGTTTTTATTGCGTTTTAACACGCATCTCTTCAGTGAAATTCTCACATCGGCCGACAGAATTTGAACTCACTAATTTTTGACAACAATATATGTTATCCACCAATAAAATTATCAGCTGATGAAATTTGAACCCACACCCATCAAACCCATAATCAACTACGCCCACCACCTTTGTTGGCTCTAAACATAAAATCTAACTACAGCTTATATCACATAAATATTTATTATTATTATTATTATTATTATTTAATTATTTAATATTTGAAGTGAGTGAGTGTAGAAAAGTGAATATGCTATAATGAATAAAAGATAAATATTTCTTTCATTATTTTTCTTTTAAAAAAATGATAGGGGTCAACCAGATTGTGAGTGTCATTAGGCAATCGCGACACTTACCAAATAGCATTTGATTAATCCTCACTTCTTTTTATTCAAATTAAATGAAAAAATTGAAAAAAATAAATAAATAAGTGTCGCCACGGGGTTAAATACAACACTAATTACTCCATTGAAAAAAAAAATCGTATTAATCTTATTTTACTAACTTTTGGCTTATTTGACTCCAATTAGGTACAAGTCAAGAACAGTAGTATCAGTAGTACACAACGGAACTATAAGTCAACATTTTAGTTGGTAGAAACTTTTGCATCGAAACATAAATATCACAGGCGTATTCACATGAAATGAGGTGGTCCCAATAACTTAATATTATCAGATTTTTAAGTGCTCTTAAATAAGAAAAGATGTTTTTTCTGTATTATTTTCTATAATCATTTTGATTATGTAAATCATCATCATTATTATTATTATTATTCCTCTTCAACTACATATATACTTTTAATGTGGTTGAAGATGAAACACATGAAAGGATTGGCACAAAAATTTCCTTAACTCAAGAAAAAACACCTATAACAAATTCTGCAATGATTTCCGAGTTATAAATGAACAATGGCTTTTGTACCTACAAATCCAAAGAATGTGCAACATCGTATGTGGCCTCACATCTGCCACCGGTTAACCAGCCTACCCCAATCCACGTGTATACTCATCTGTCCGTCCCTCAAACCTACTCGCTTATACAAAGTTAGGTAATTAACAAATGAACCTTTATAAAAACCTAAACCCATTTCTATGGATACACCATCCAACCCTTTCCATTTATAAAAGGCAGAGTATATTTTCCTCTACACCCCACAAATCAAATAACATTAATCTTATTCATTCCCCTTCCAAACTCTTCTCCTCATCTTACCTCAGCAAATCTCGTTTGTTCACACTCCTATATTACTTGACACTCCTTCACCATCCAATTAAATCAAGAAAAAGAAAAATGGTGACGGTTGAGGAAATCCGCAACGCCCAGCGTTCCAATGGCCCTGCAACCATCTTGGCCTTTGGCACAGCCACACCCTCCAACTGCGTTGTACAAGCTGATTACCCTGACTACTACTTCCGCATCACCAACAGTGAACACATGACTGACCTCAAAGAAAAGTTCAAGCGCATGTGTATGTATACATTCTTAATTTTCTTTTCACTAGCTATCATTGTTTATCAATTTTATTATAAATATAATTAATAATATGATCCATCATTTTTTTTAATTTTTTTCACCAAATCATCGATTAATCCTCTTGAGCCAATAGAACCACACCTAAGCAGTTTTTTTTTTCTAGAATTAAATTCAAAATTATTGGTTAAATTAAAATATTTTTTATATTAATTTATTAATTATTCGACTAATCTGATTCAAGCATAGAAGATTACATGCGTAGGATCATATGGGCATGAAACAAAGCTCATATTGTATCCACGTTATTTTAAATTTGAGATAACTCAGTTAAACTGAAATAAATCCTTATCAATTGTTTCATGGGTTGAAACAACAATTTACATAGTTATAAACACTAACGTAATCAAATTGGAACCAACAAGTGTGTTTGGTACTGACTGATTTTCAAAATTTTATCTTTAGGAATGTTTGGTACAAGATATTTTGTAGGATTCTTGAAAAATTAAACTTTTCTAAATTTTTAATTTTTGGATATTATCATAAACGGAATGTTTTTATCATATTCTTAAAAATTGAGATTTTCGGATAATTTTTTTTTCTTCTACTAAACGCTTCGTTAATGATTATAAATGATTTGTTTCTTTATGTTAGTTTTGACACTAACTTCATCGACTGATTTTTGACGTTAGCTTCTCAAGTTTTCTGCCTTTGCCACTAGTTATAAAGTTTTTGTTTTATATTTCAGGTGAGAAGTCAATGATCAATAAGCGATACATGCATTTAACAGAGGAATATTTGAAGGAGAATCCAAACATGTGTGCTTATATGGCGCCATCCTTGGATGCGAGACAGGACATAGTGGTGGTGGAAGTGCCAAAGCTAGGAAAAGAGGCAGCAGCAAAGGCTATTAAGGAATGGGGTCAACCAAAGTCAAAGATAACACACTTGGTGTTCTGCACCACATCAGGGGTGGACATGCCCGGAGCAGATTACCAACTCACGAAGCTTCTAGGCCTGAGGCCCTCCGTGAAACGTCTCATGATGTACCAGCAAGGTTGTTTCGCCGGCGGCACCGTCCTCCGCCTCGCCAAGGATCTCGCCGAGAACAACAAAGGCGCGAGGGTTCTCGTCGTTTGTTCTGAGATCACCGCCGTCACATTCCGTGGCCCCTCCGACACTCACCTTGATTCCCTCGTCGGTCAGGCGCTCTTCGGAGACGGCGCGGCGGCGGTTATAATCGGAGCAGATCCTGACCTTGCTGTGGAGAGGCCGATTTTTCAGTTGGTGTCGGCGGCGCAGACAATTCTGCCGGACTCCGACGGCGCCATCGACGGCCACCTCCGAGAAGTGGGGCTCACCTTCCACTTGCTTAAGGATGTTCCTGGGATTATATCGAAGAACATTGAGAAGAGTTTGGTCGAGGCTTTTGCACCTATTGGGATCAGTGATTGGAACTCGCTCTTCTGGGTTGCGCATCCGGGTGGACCGGCTATTTTGGACCAGGTTGAGATTAAGCTCCGGCTCAAGGAAGAGAAACTCCGGTCCACCCGGCACGTGCTAAGCGAGTATGGAAACATGTCAAGCGCGTGCGTTCTGTTTATCTTGGATGAGGTGAGAAAGAGGTCAAAGGAGGAAGGGAAGAGCACCACCGGAGATGGGCTTGAATGGGGAGTGTTGTTCGGGTTCGGGCCGGGTCTCACGGTTGAGACTGTGGTGCTTCACAGTGTTCCCTTCGAGGATTAAATTTGGAGTGTGGGCCCTTACGGTTTGTATAAGCAAGTTAATAGTATTTAATAAGGAAAATGCCGCGAGAAATTTGGAAACAGAATTGCTTCTTTTTATTATTATTATTATTATTATATAGACAGATTTAGTGACATGTGACATGTTTGTGAATCTGTCGTGTATGGGAGTGAATTTGTTAAGGTTTTAATACTTGCATATTCTGCATTGAATTTGATTATGAAATTTCGCAATTTTGTTTCGATGGCGTTACCTTATTTTCTGTTCATTTATGGGGTGGGATCATTTCTTTCTCTCAAGCATTAATGTTGTCTTAAGAGTTAGAACATGCTTGGGTCAGATGTTTTTAAAAAAACAATAGTGACTCTTAAGTTAAATGTATTAAATGAGCAAAATATTATTCATTTTTTATGTGCACTTAAATTAGTTATACTAAGTGTTTTATGCATAAATATTTTGATATTTACAGATTCTAGACGGAACAGATAAAACTCAACCTTATAGAAACTAATTACTCAGAAAAGGATAAGGAAATATTCCCCCAAAAGAAGAGTAATAAAGTGATATCAAATTATGTTCTTTCATCGAAAAGCTTATATACGAATGAGCCAGAGGCACAAATGCCCCATTTATAATTGGAAGCGATGCTAAGTTTTGTAATTTATAAGAATTTAAGTTTAAATATCTCTTTCCCGTATGGCATAACTTAAAAAAAAAAAACCTTAAAAACTAAGAAATTTTTATAAGGAATATTCTTTATAAACGGTTAATGAATTAAAAATAAAAAATATTCAATATGTTAAAAAATCTTAAACATTTATGATTTTTAAATAAAAAATAATATTTAATAAAAATATTGAATGGTTCTTTCCTACTATTCATTAGCAAAACGAAATATTTTATTATCAAAATACAAGTTGGTGCAACAAATAATAATCATGTATGCCAATACCAAAAAATAGGGTACAGTGCTGCCATAACTGTATTACCGTATCATTACTTATGCAATAATTTGGGCTCCCGAAATGAGAAGTAAATGCAGACTTACAACTTATACAATATCCAATTTATTTTGGAATCAGTAATTGTACTTAAAAAAAGGTTAATTACAAGGAAGATATCAAACAAACTTTAAACTTTACATGCAATATCAAGAATTTAATTTCTGAAGTTGTCACTTAAAATTTTTTTTACTTAACTTCTCCCGAACCTAAAATTACTTGAGCAGTTGCTTGTACAATTTTGACTTATATATAAAAAGATTGGGAGGATATTATAACAATAAAGTTGTGTTATTACCAAGTTATTATCACTCAATCTCACCGTTAGATTGATTATGTTGATCCGACGGTTATATTTATTTCCATCTTTGTATGGTCATGATTTTCCAAATTTAATACTTTATATTTATTTTCACCTTTGTATGGTTATAATTTTCATATTTAATGCTTTCTCTTTAAATATGGAGAATCATGACCATACAAAGATGGAAATAAATATAACCGTTGGATCAACATAATCGATCTAACGGTGAGATTGATTGATAGTAACATGGTAGTAACACAACTTGATTGTTACAATATCATTTCCTTAAAAAAATATACTCGATAAAATAAAAGTCGTGTATGCATTAACAAATATCGTGACCTGAACTGGCACATTCAATTTGAAAATTTCTTAAAATTGAGTCAAATTAAATTCACACTGAAATGTGGATCCGATAGTTTCATCAATCCTACAGCTATTCATCTACAATTATATTGTGATTTACTCTTTATCTCCTAAACACTGATCACCCATAGGCCATAGGTCTGCTGTTAACAGAAATGAACTGGAGGTGTTTGGTTGAGGAAATTTTTTTGAAATAGTAGGAAAATGTAATAGATAGAGAAATGATTAGAAAGATAGATAAAGTGAGATAGATAGAAAATGTAAAAAAAAGTTGTTTGGTGGGAAAAAATTTTACTGGGAAAATTAGGTAACTTTATGAAATCAACAGTGCATTAAAAGCCAGATAATCGATTTTCCGAAAATCCCACCTTCAAATTGGGTTTCTAAACAATGCGGATATCTATGTTTCTCATAAATCCAGACAAATTGGATAGATGGATTTTGGTGAAAATATGTTGAAACAAACATGGTGTTTCTAAAAGCCATACTTCAGAAAGATAGATATCCGCTAAAAAATTCCCAACCAAACACCACCTAAAATCATTCTTGAGTAAAAGAAAGTGAAGATAAAAAAAATAAAAAATATTGCAATTAAATGAAGAAAAATTCCTCCTTTATAATATCAATAATAATAGCATAAATAATACCCATTGAGCTAGCGATGATAACATAATATAATTTCTTTAATTGTAAATTTGAGCACTATAATAGTACAATTGCCATTCAAACAAAAAAATTATCCAACCTTTTCTCAGTCCATTCCCATTACGAAAGGTTTCTCGTACCAACAATTGCAAATTTCCAATCCAACCCAAATTTTTTAAGCAGCTACCCATCCAAAGGTCGAAGCAAATCCCAAGGGGTCTCAAGCAGTGATTTGCAGCAAATTGAATTTCTTTAAATTAAGTCAATTTTCATTCATATTGTTACGTGGTATAGATAATTTCATCCGAAAAAATATTTTCTCATGTTTGTCAGAGAGTTTTTTCCTCCTATTAGCAATTTTTTGATTTTTGTATAATATTTTTTTTATTTTTTTATTTTTTAATAAATGTGAGCCACACACAAAATATATTTATAACATGATATACATATCACCTCCTGCATGAGAAAACCCAAACCCCCATTATTAACTTATAATCATAGGAGTTTATATTTGTCATTTAACATAACACAACTAACTTTCCTACACCCACAATATCTTGTAGGGCCCATACTTTTTGAAGAAAAAAGAAAAAAGAAAAAAAAACTACGGCACGCAAAACGAATCTCTATAACATTACATAATCACTTTTCCTACAACATAACTCTTATAAAACCCATAATCATATTGTGATTTGCTTTTTATTTCTTAATAATTAAGGGTAGTGTTTCTAGGTTTAACTTAGATGTGACAAGAAAGGTGTTCGGTTCTATTAAACCGTATAATGATTTCTCAAGGGTATGCGCTCAGAGATATCCTATGGATAGGTATCTTGGTTGGCTTATAGCCAATATCTCCATCACTGCGCACAAGCAATAGGCTTATAGCCGAGACGTGGGTGTGTGCACAGTGTGGGCAGAAGTAGTAAATGAGTTCAACGTATGTACCTGGGGTCTTTAACCTCTTATTTATAAGGGTTACCTATTGGGCTTGTGAAGATCTCCCAGTTGTAGTAGGGTTTAACTTCCTTTCTGTTGGAATAGGGACTCTATCCTTAGCAGCCTTACTGTTTTATATTGTTAGGATAATTGAGTAGTTATCCTTTAAGGGATCCTTGGGTAGGTGGTTAGGATATGGAAATATTCCATAAAAGTTGCCCCCAGCCCGGCAGTTCGGAAGCTCGGACTGCTGGGGTGCCTAAGTTTGATTGATAGGTCGACCCTACCGAGGTACTATGATCCTGCCTTAGGTCTGGTGCGACTACCTCTTCTTGGTTTAGCTTTTTATATTGGCTTCTTTTCTCTTGAAGTCTCTGAATGGTGAGGCGGTGTTTGCCTTTTTTGGACTTTGAGCTCGGCTTCTTATACCATAGCTTTCTTTAAATTGACTTGGCTTTTGCCTTGCCTACACTTTCGAAGGCAGTATATTTTCCTTTCTGATTTTAGCCCGGCTTAACATACCGTGGCTTTTCTAGACTTTTTGCCATATTTTGTTTGAGCCCGGCTTCGCATACCGTCTCGATTTGTCTTTTATCTTAAATTGGGGTGTGATCCTTTTCTAGGATCACGATCTCTCCAAATTCGTCTTCTCGGATTGGAGTGTGATCCTTTTTCGTAGAATCACATCTCTCCAATTCTATCTTTATTCTTCTTCTTCTTTCGGATCGGGGTGTAATCCTTTGGCTAGGATCACAACTCTCCAATTCCGTCTTCATTTTTATCTCAGATTAGGGTGTGATACTTTTCTTAAGATCACATATCTCCTTTTCTGTCTTCATTTTGATCTCGGAGCCTGAAGCTATGGCTATGGCTTAGGTGAGTTTAAGCTCAAGGCTGAGGCCGAGCTTTAATCTTGAAGCCCTTCATTGGGCTGAATTGGAGCTCAAGGCTAAGGCCGAGCTTTTAAGCTTGAAGCCCTTCGTTGGACTGAGCTCAAGGCCGAGGCCGAGCTAATAATTTTAAAGCCCTTTGTTGGGCTTAGTTGAAGCTCAAGGCTGAGGCCGAGCTTTTAATGAATTTAAAACCCTTCACTAGACTGAGTTGGAGCTCATGACTAAGGCCGAGCTTTTAAACTTGAAGCCCTTCATTGGGCTGAGCTCAAGGCCGAGGCTGAGCTAATAAATTTGAAGCTCTTCACTGGACTAAGTTGGAGCTCAAGGCTAAGGCTGAGCTTTTAAACTTGAAGCTCTTCGTTGGGCTGAGCTCAAGGCCGAGGCCGAGCTAATAATTCTGAAGCCCTTTGTTGGGCTGAGTTGAAGCTCAAGGCTGAGGCCGAACTTTTAAACTTGAAGCCCTTTGTTGGGCTGAGCTCAAGGCTCAGGCCGAGCTGATAATTTTGAAGCCCTTTGTTGGGCTGAGTTGAAGCTCAAGGCTGAGGCCGAGCTTTTAAACTTGAAGCTCTTCGTTGGGTTGAGCTCAAGGCTGAGGCCGAGCTAATAAATTTGAAGCCCTTAGTTGGGTTGAGCTCAAGGCCAAGGCCGAGGCCGAGCTAATAAATTTAAAGCCCTTAGTTGGGCTGAGTTGAAGCTCAAGGCTGATGCCGAACTTTTAATCTTGAAGCCCTTTGTTGGGCTGAGCTCAAGGCCGAGGCCGAGCTAATAATTTTGAAGCCCTTTGTTGGGCTGAGTTGAAGCTCAAAGATGAGGCTGAGTTTTTAATTTTGAAGCCCTTCGTTGGGCTGAGCTCAAGGCCGAGGCCGAGCTAATAATTTTGAAGCTCTTTATTGGGCTGAGTTGAAGCTCAAGGCTGAGGCCGGGCTTTTAAACTTGAAGCCCTTCATTGGGCTGAGCTCAAGGCCGAGGCCGAGCTAATAAGTTTGAAGCCCTTTGTTGGGCTGAGTTGAAGCTCAAGGCTGAGGCTGAGCTTTTAAACTTGATGCCCTTTGTTGGCCTTTTTTATCTGAACCCGGCTTTTTATGTCATGGTCTTTTAATTTGTGCCCCGCTTCTTTCGCAGGGGATTTTTAATCTAAACCCGG